TAAATCAATAAAATTGGGTAAAAGATAAAACATAAAACAATAACAGAAGTTATTGAGGGATATCTGACTTGTTCAGAGTCCATGGTGATGTGGTTGAAGTCTGTGACTCTTATGCAGTAGACCTGAGATCAAATCCTGGTTGTGTCATCAAGGCCATCTGGTGTAAAAACTTTGCCATGTCTGTCAGCTAGTTGTATGACTTGATGTGGCAGCCCCTGAATAAGGAGCAGCTGAAAGGACACAAACATACGACATGTTACAGTCTGGTGTGTCCAACAGAAATCTGCAGCTGATTCAGTCCATTAAAATGAGCTGTCAATAGATGTTTAAACTTTAAAAAAGTTTTCATCTTTCTTAATTTAATTAACCACAGCAATCTGTAAACATTACACATTTTTTCATTTAAAATGTTTTCTTCGTGCTATATCATTGAATTGATTTATTTATTTATTTATTGACTTTATTGATCTCACAGTGGATAAATTCACTTTTCCCATCAGCTCAAATAGTCAAAGGAGAAGATTGTGTGAAAGGAAGAAAAAGGGATATATCCATCCATCCATCAATCCATTTTCCATCACGCTTATCCCCAGCGAGGTCATGAGGGGATCTGATGCCTATCTCCATCTGTCTATGAGCGAGAGGCATGGTACACCCTAGACAGGTCACCACTACACTGCAGGGAATATATACAGTATTTTATTATTATTTATTGAGGTTTTCACAGATCATTAAATGTTGCTATTTCTCTTGGAAAAAAAGTTGCTGTTTAATAAACTTTTTGTGGAAAAACAGAAAGTGTGATTGGAGAATATCAGTACAAAAAAAAATGTTTTATTTAAATATATATTTTTGTCCTCAACTTAATGGAGTTAACCTATTAAACAGTCAACAAGTAAGTCATGTTTGTTGTTGGCAATTAATTAACAGCTGCTTGAGTGTGTGGGATTATTTTTGTTACTTAATAGGGACAGTTTAAAGCCAATTTATTTGTAAACATGCTGCATTGCCGGAACTTAAAAGAACTTGTGGGGACCACACAACTGAACAGTTATTTTCGTTTAAGGTCTAAGGTGTAGATTAGTGTTTAGGTTAGGGCTTGGTTAGGCCATACAAAAGAATAAAAGTTCCCATAAAAAATGAAAATGTTCTTCTATATAAAACACTGTGGGGCCCATTTTCTTGAAAAATAGCATTTGGTATGTGTGTGTGTGTGTGTGTGTGTGTGTGTGTGTGTGTGTGTATGTGTGTGTGTGTGTGTGTGTGTGTGTGTGTGTGTGTGTGTGTGTATATGTGTGTATGTGTGTGTGGGTGTGTGTGTGTGTGGGTGTGTGTTGGGGGGGATAACCATATTCCATTTTCCTTCATGTCACATTTACTCAGTGCTTTTTATTGGCCTGTGTCAGAAAAGTATAAAACTCTTCTTTATGGCCGTATAACATCTCTGAGTGCTGAGAGGTCTCTCTAAGCTCCATCATCTAAAATGACTTTAATGATGACCCTCAACAGACTGAATGCAGTGACAGACAAACATGGATTTTCTGGTAGCAGGACAGTTTTTGAGGCATTTTGAGAAAAGTCTACCTAACATAGAGAAACATTTTTTCTCTTTGACCTCATTGTTTCTATCTTTGTTAATACAAAAAAAGACTAAGCTGAAAAGCTCAGGCAGATTTCTAGCTTTAATAAAAGCAATATTGTTGAGAAAGACGATAATTCAAGATGTAGTTATAGAATAATGTAGAAATGAAACAGTATGATTAACTCTCTAATATAAAGTTAACTTTCAGGCTTAGATCTAACTGATATTTCTAATATTAACATGATCATTTCCTCACAGCTATGGCTTTTTCTATCTCTGACAGATGAGATCATTCTCACCCATCAGCTCCTTTTAGATGCAAAGGGGAACTTTAAACTTGTTCTGCAGAGGCTTCTCACGCACTACAAACCAAACAGCATTTTTTACTTTGCATAATTAAACAAAACATTTAGAAACTAATTCATTGATTTAATTTAATGTCTAAATTTGAAAATAAGTTTTGAAATTATAAGTTTTCATGTATATATTTACTTTTCATGAACATCACTCTTTACTATGAATGTTTGAGTCTCTAATATAAAATCTAATATTATTTTTGTTTTTCATAACAGCAGATAAACCCAGAGCCAAACTGACAGCAGGTCCATCAACCATACCAGTAGGGGGCAGTGTGACAATGAGCTGCACTGTGGAGCCCTCTGCTGGATGGAGGTACAGATGGTTCAGAAGGACCCCAGACACCTCTGGAGATGAAGTCAGAATAAATAATGAGGAAAACAGAGAAATCACTGTGAGAAAAGGAGGAATCTACAGATGTGAAGGAGTGAGAAACCCAGAGATCTACACAATTCCAAGCTCTGAGGTCACTGTGGAGATAACCTGTGAGTTTGTGGATGAAAACTATAAGCACCTAAATCTACTAAATCAAATATTTGCTATCTTTCTTATTTTAATCACAATAACCTGTAAGCATTATAATATATTTTTCTAATTTAACTGTGATCTTTGTGTTACAGTATTTATTATATTTCTTTTTTCTTTTGGAAATAGTTTCCAACAAGGTTGTTGTGACTCAAAAACCAAACAGCTCTCAGATGTTCAGTGGTGAGACGATCACTCTGACATGTGAGGTCCAGGGAGGAGAAAGCACTGAGTGGACGTATGAATGGAGGAGATCTGGTTCTGTTATACACAGCACACCCAGTAAAGACTGGACATTTAATGTTTACGAGTCCAGCAGTGGAAAATACACATGTCAGTGTAGAAGCAGAGATGACTGGTATTCTTCAACAGAGTGGAGTGAATCAATCATCCTGTCAGTATCTGGTAAGATACGATTCTATTTGTCTGGATAGAAGACCTATTTTCTGACATTGAGCATAATGTGATGAAATGCTCGGATTAGTAAAATCTCTTGATTTTAATTTTATGTTTTTCAGCAGCTGTGTCTGGTCCAGTCAGCTCTCTTATTTTGTGGATCATTGTACCAGTTTCTGGGATCATTCTCGTTGTTCTGCTCCTCCTGTTGTGGCGCTGCAGTCAGTCCAGAGGTGAGACCTTTTTCTGTTCAGACTGGATCAGATTAAAACCACTTTAATTTAACTTGTTCATATTTCATTTAATCAAAGTAACTCAAATGTATTTTTCACAGGTTTATTCTGTTTCAGGTCAGTTCCTCACATTTTCATTTCTTTATATTAATAGAAATGTTTTTGTTATGATATGTTTCATTTAATTTTCTAAATGTCATTTTTTTCTATTCTTTATATCAAGGCGCTCAGAGAGGAGCAGTCAGATTGAGATTCGTGAATACAACTCTCCCTGTGAAGGTCTGAAATTCCACTATTTTTAGTCATTTTCTAAAACTTTTTGTCTAATAGCATATATATTTTCAACTTTGATCTATATTTTATTTTTTTTTTCTACTAATATGCCATAATGGTTTTCTTAGCAAGAAAAATAAGCCAGATATAAAAGAAAACCAACTAAACACATCTATATTCAAAACATATTTTCCTTGCATTATGCTTTTATTCCCGGTTTCTTTGCTGCACATTTTCACCAACAGCATGTCTATATGAATAGCTCTACAGTTACTATCACCATATAATATATCTTTATAAACTGTTTGAGGTGAATCAACTGTGTCATTTTGAATCAATGAAAGTTTTTGTTTTTGGACCAGAGTTGATTAGGCAGTCACTTCATTTGGATGGGATTAAATTGATCTCAGACAACAAATAAAATCATCTTATTTTTGATCAGGACCTTTCTTTTTAATTCTATATCAAAGTGGTTTCTAGAATTTTGTTCTTTGCCTGGAATGCCTGGAATATTGCAAAAAATAAATAAATAAATTGTCCTGGGGTGATGCTGAGAAACTAGTCCAGGCATTTGTTACTTCAAGGCTGGACTATTGTGATTCTTTACTATCAGGAAATCCACAAGCTGTAGTTAAAAGCCTTCAGCTGATCCAAAATGCTGCAGCCAGAGTTCTGATGAAAATTAAAAAGAGAGATCATATCTCTCCTATCCTGGCTTCTCTTCATTGGCTTCCTAGTGGTTCCTATAAAAGTAGAATAGGAGGCAGATCTTTTAGTTATCAGGCTCCTCTCCTGTGGAACCAACTACCAGTTTTAGTCAGTGAGGCAGACACCCTGTCTACTTTTAAGAGTAGAATTAAATCTTTCCTTTTTGAAAAGCTTATAGTTAAAGTGGCTTACGTTATCCTGAGCTATCTCAGATTCTATGTATGCTGCTATAGGTTTCAACTGCTGGAGGACATAGGGACCCTTTTTTCATCATTCTGCTTCATTCTATATCTATTCTCCACCTCTGCAGAAGGTGTTAGTTCAATTTGTGACTTTATGCTCTCTCTTTCTGATAGTAGCTTCATCTGATCTGTTCTTGTTTGGCTGTGACACCTGGAGATAAATATCAGCTATGTTGCTGCGATCAACACCTTTGTTTATAGATGTTCAAGATCAGCCTGTTTTTCAGTGTAGTCCTGTCTCTCTGACTGTGACTGGTTGGATATGCTCTCTTCATCCTCTGACATAAGAACAAGCTTGGAGCACATCTACATGTTTCCTGGATGCCAGTGGAGCTGGTTGACAGTTGCCTTTTGTATCTCTGCTTCTTTTTGTATCTCTGCTTCTTTTTGTATCTCTGCTTCTCCTTGAACCCCAGTCGGCCTCTGCAGATGACCGCTCACTCTGAGCCTGGTTCTGCTGGAGGTTTTTTCCTGTCAAAAGGGAGTTTTTTTCTCCACAAGCATTCTTAGTTTGACGGATTGTTTTCGATTCAATGAGTTGATGCAATCAACTGGTTTTCCTTAGATAAAAAAAAAAAAAAAACTTTGAACCAATCTAACTGTATGATCTGGTTGAATTGTCTCTGTAAAGTTTCTTGAGATGACATGTGTTGTGACTTGGTGCTATTAAATAAACTGTATTGGGCTGAAACATTTAATCAGAATTATTGTGATTAATCAATTATTGAAAAAATTTTCAGTTGACTAAATAATCAATTAATCAGTAACTGGAGTGTAGAGAATATAAAATGTGCCTTTATACCAAAATTGTAAAAAAAAAAACATTAAGAAAGGTTTTACATTTAAGATAAAACTCTTTTTCATCTGTCAATATGCTCTATCAAGATCTCCTCAAGTCGAAAAGTTTTAGTTGCATCTGGTTTGTTTTAGCAAAAAGTCTTCTTTAAGGAACATTTTTTTAAATGATTACTCATCTGTGTATTACAAAAATAATCAACAGATTAATCACTTTATAAAAATAGTCGTCAGTTGCAGCCCTAATTGAATCTTTTAACCACCAACGTTGATCAGACTCTCAGATATATTCTGGTATCTTTAGCTGCAAATTATTCCTGAAAACTGACATAAGTCTGGATGAACTGAAATACTTTGGGATAAACAATTCAAAAGATCATGATAATCATTATTGTTGCACCAATAGATACCATACCCATACCATCCGTTTGAAATTGATGTGTGTGTATATATGAAGAACTGCATACTACTTGGATATAAAATAATTCCCATCATGGCTTTGTTAAGCTGCTGCCTTCCTTTGTGAAGCAGGAAAAAGACTAATATAAAGTGAATCCAGTAGAACTTTTTATTTTCTACCTGGAATGGGTGACAATTGTTGAATAGACTGTTGGCTCTCAAAATGACATCTTTGACCTACTCGCCAATACTCATACCACCATTTTAGTGCAGCATCTGGGCCCTGTCCTATACCGGTATCGGTGCAACACTGATAAAAATCAGGATTTTTTAATCGATCATTTGATGTTCAGTGATCAACTTAATCCAGAAATGTGTCCTCAATCCCAAGCATTTGAGGACTAACTCAGATGCTTTCTTTCTTAGACTTCACTGCAACTTATGCTGAAATAAACCATCAAACCAAAGCCAAGAAGAAGAAGAAGAAGAAGGGTAAAGATATATTCTGCATTGATCTATAGTTTTCTGGCTAATATAATTATTATTTCTGATGCCTCTAAAAGGATTTGATATTATAAATAAATTGCATCAACATCTTCTTATTGACAGGAAAGCAGAGCTCTGAAACAGCAGAGCTGACAGTTTACTCTGGGATCAGATCAGGAGCAGCTCTGGACAACACTGGCCTGTAGGCTGCAGGCTGTCCTGCTGTAGAATGGGATTTATCTACCAGCTTAACTCATAACAACATTCTCACATCATTTACTGTATTCTCTCACAGCTCTTGTCTTTTGGTTGTAAGTCTTTAAATGATGATTGTTAGTGAAACAAACAAAAATTCTCTGAAACTGCAGTTGGTTGAATAAATATCAGACAGTTCAGTACAACATTTTTCATGATGGTAAATTTTGTGATGAAAATAAACTGGATGTTTTGTACATACCTTCAAGCTAATCTAAAGGCTGCAGGGTTATAGTGCCTTTATATTTCATATTCTGTTCATTTCTATTCTAAACTCATGCAGATGCATAACATTCATCATCTTCCTTCTTTTTTAGCTTTATTAACATATTGGTAGTAATAGTGTTATAGTGTTGGTGATTATCTGGTATATTGAGCATAAGTTTAAATAGCTTAAGTTGAAAGTCTTAGAAGTTTTTATCTGATTAAGTATATTATATTTAAGTAAGGATAAAGTTAATGAAAAGTAGAAGTTTGTTGATAAACATTATTTGCACTTTGTCAAATTTTAAATGAGAAACTTGTCTATATAGATGCTGAAATGTTTTTGTGACTCCCCCATCCCTTGTTTGCATGTTTTTAAAACTTTTTATTATGACAAGTGTTTTGGGAGGTGTTTATGCCTTTGCATTCAATTGATAAAATATTCAGATTTACTGAATTGTTATTAAAATTGTTAAAAATAAAAAATATATCAAATGGATTGTGTATTTTGATTGACTTTACTGTTTATTAGGGCAAATGAAGTGTAGTGTGCTCACCTAAAAGTAATGATGAGTATTCCAATCAAAGTCAAGTGTTTATTGCATTTCAAACTTCCTAAGTTTTTCTATTTTCTGATTTATTTACTGTCTGAAATTAAGAACTTCAATTAAAGCCGCAGGAAGTTCTTTAATAATTCTCTCCTCATTAAAATTTACAAACATTAAAATATTTACAATCATTTACATTTACAAGCATTAAAATAACCTTTCAGTCAGACTTCAGCACTTAAACAAAATGAAGTATAATTTCACATTGGATTTTTGGAGTGTTTTATTTGTAATTTGAAGGGAGAGAGAGACGAGGGATGAACAGGTGAAGGGATGAGCAGATGAGGGATGAAGGAAGGGGTGTTTGAAGGATGAGGATAGGAAGAGATGAGGGATGAAGGAATGAAAGGGATATGGGATGAAAGGGTAAGGGAGGTTGGGGGTCACCGACGGAGTAAAGAGAAGTCTTGAAGATTTGTGTGTGGGGTAGGAGAACCAGGAGAATTCGGTTCTTGTAAATTTTTCCAAGCCTGCTCTGAACCCCCAGATGGACCCTGCAAGAGTGAAGAACAAGATGAGGGAATGAGATTAATAAAGATAAGAAAGGGAAAAAGGTTAAGGGAGGGTGGGGTTGACAAATCATTAAAGACTGAGAGGAAGGTGTGAGTGGTGTATAAAGTAATGGGTAATAAGAGGAGGGGTTTGGGTGTGGCCCTGCTCCCTAACTTAAATTAAAATATTACTCAATTTCACTAGCAAAGACCACATCTATACTTAATACAAGTTTAAAGGTTTATTGGCTGAATGGAAGATAAAGGGATAAAAGAATGAGGGATGAAGGAATGAGGGTATTGAAGCATGAAAGGATGAAGGAAGGAGGGATAAGGAGAGGAAG